CCGACCGCCAGCGACCTTGAGTCAGTAGCCAAACAGAACTCAGACGTATCTTGACATCAACATATACCTCTGTAGTCTATACATGTAATGATCGTGTATCGCTGTTCAGCGCGGGTTCGCGTCTTCCAAGGTTCAGTCACGTCGCGAACAAAGCCATTCTTTTTGAGAAATTGGGTTCGCGCTAGCTCTGATCCAACCCGGGACCTCTAAGAAAAGGAACGAAACATGATGATTCCACGACCAGCCACACCATATATTCCGATGACTGAACATCCGGCATGAACATCAAAGCTTGCGGTGACTGACCTGAGTCGTGGTAGACGTACGTTGCTTTCACGAGCTCCCGAGGTCTGGTCAACACGTCGCATCACCCTGGATCTTTTCTCGGCCCGTGGAAACCGTGTATCTATAATCTCGGTGACTCGCGCATGTCACTCCGAAATCGAATGTATCCTGATACATCGGTCACTGCTCATTGCCCGTTAGCTGCGGCCGTGATACTACTTCGAATCAAGGGTGCTTACTTTCGTCTATTGTGTAGTCGCATTTGCGTATATATTAGTTTCCTCATGTAGTAAAGATCCGTGCAACACGTTGGGCTTTCCCAGTCCGTACATAGCAAGGACGCGTGACATGAGTTCTCCGCACCAAATGAGTTTGTGTAAGTGAGCACTCCCCTGGAACATTAAACGAAGTCATGATGCTTTGTCCTGCTTGCCTAATTGATTCCGACCTTCTGACAACACCTTAGTGATTCTACAAATCGCCAAGACTTCATGTCCCGCAAAGTAGCGCTGTAGTCCGATGTCCCAGCGTCTCCGCGGACCCGAGCAAAGCAGTCAATGGTCATGATCTCATCATCGTATTTTTCCAGTGGCATCACTTGATAGAAACATGTGTGCGCGCAGATGGAAACATGGTCGGAGGGGCCCTGCATCACGGACTCTGGGAGGCCGAGGCTGGACCAATTGGCTAACGCTAGTTTTCGTCCGCATCTCCAAAGTATCAACCAGAATTCAGCGCATCGCGTCGCGCGAAGCACCACTCGAACACATCGTCCACTGACCGAATTCGCGTGCTCAGGCTTCCTTCGCGACAACCGCGGACTAGAAAGAATTGCCTACCGTGCCGTCGTCGAGGCAAGAGCCCGGACCCACGAAACGCCTGGCTGCGCCGACGGCTCCATCCCGCGTACCTTATGGCGACAGCGACAGCGTCAGGGAAACACATACCTCCATAAAGCCCCTATTGCTCGGCGCATCGAGCGCAGTCTGGGCGCATAGCAGATCCGGGTCGTGTGCCGCCTTGTGTCTAGGGGAGGCGAAATCTTTGCTCCCGTCAGTATCCAGAACGACCGACGCTCTTCTCCAGCAGTCGCCCTGCATTCAAGCGTGCTAGGAGCTGCATCTGGAGTGCTCAGTGTATGTTTGTCGCCTGGATTATGAGGTGAATAGGCTCTTGGTTCTGCGTGTGTGATATTGGACATCGGCCGTTAGCGTCCCTCTCATTCAGATTCTCGCGATCCTCCACCCTCTGCCTCAGCACCTTCCACCACCCCCACGCCTCTCAACGATATGTCGGACAGCGAGTCGGACCAAAACACGGCTCAGCTCGAGCCGGAGCTACGCGAGATGAAGCTGGAAGGCGCGACCTCGGGAGGAGCAGGTGAGGGCAAGAGCACCACTCAGGTGAAGGTGGAGGGAGATTCGCTCGACCGCGCGTCCACGCCTCTCGCCATACCTCCCAGGCTCAAGACGCGATCCAAGTCTCAGTCGCCCATGGCAAAACACGAGCTCAATACTCCATCACCCGGCAGCGCCCATGAAGAGATCGTGGGGGGAGATATTGTGCTGAAGATGGAACCCGGCAAAGCCCCCAAGCTCTCGCGCTCCGCCTCCCAAAAAGTCGTCACTCGCGCACCTCCGCTATACCTCGACCTCCCCGATTCGACCGCTGCCGCCAAAGAAACCTTCGTCGTCCTCCCAGAATGCACCTACGCGAACAAGACCATCGGCACGACCGACCCTGCGCTCGAATGCGACTGCCAGGAAGAATACGACTCTACAACCAAGACCAACCATGCCTGTGGCGAAGACTCCGACTGCATCAACCGCGCGACAAAGATGGAGTGCTTGGGTGACTGCAGCTGTGGTCGCAAGTGCCAGAATCAGCGCTTTCAACGGAAACAATATGCAGACGTTACGGTTATTAAGACGGAGAAGAAGGGCTTTGGTCTTCGCGCCAACAAGAACATGGCTCCCGGTGATTTCGTCTTTGAGTACATCGGCGAGGTCATTGACGAGCGCACCTTCCGCCGCCGCATGGGCCAATACGATGAGGAGGGAATCAAGCACTTCTACTTCATGTCGCTTACCAAGGGCGAGTTCGTGGATGCAACGAAAAAGGGCAATCTTGGTCGCTTTTGTAATCACTCGTGCAACCCCAACTGTTTCGTCGACAAATGGGTTGTTGGGGACAAGCTGCGTATGGGCATATTCGTTGAGCGCAACGTCAAGGCAGGCGAAGAACTCGTCTTCAACTACAATGTCGACCGCTACGGCGCGGATCCGCAGCCCTGCTACTGTGGAGAGCCAAACTGCAGTGGTTTTATCGGCGGAAAGACCCAATCCGACAATGCGACAAACCTTAACAACGATACGATTGCGGCGCTCGGAATCGATGATGGTGTTGGTTGGGGTACGGCAGTCGCCAAGAAGCCCCGCAAGAAGAAGGCCAGCGAGGATGATGAGGAATACATCAGCGACTTGCAGCCACGCGAGCTTGAAGAGGACGCAGTCAACAAGGTTCTGACAGCTCTGCGCAGCTGCGAAGAGAAATGGATTGCTGTCAAACTTCTCAGCCGCATGCAAACCGACAACGAGAGAATCGGCCATCGCATTGTCCAATTCCACGGTTACGAGTTTTTGAAGACAACATTGAACAAATGGAAGGAAGATCATAACGTTGTTCTGCAAATACTGGACATTCTTCACAGGCTGCCGCGCATTACCCGCAACAAGATCCAAGACTCTGGAATCGAAGACGCAGTGAGCAAGGTGAAGGACTGCGGAGAAGAACGAGTAGAAGAGGCTGCGAAGAAGCTATTGACCGCATGGAGTAAGCTGGAGATTGGCTACCGGATACCGCGCTTGAAGAGAGATCCAAATGCTGGCACCACTGCTCGAACCGAGAATCATTTCGAACGACGCGAGAGAGGCCGTGAGCGATCCAGGTCTAGGTCAAAGTCGCCATCTACGATTGCGCCCAAAGGCCCGTCTGCAGCAAACGTCCCGTCCGGTCCTCGCGGCGTGATAAATGCGCCTCGCGGTCCGGCTGGCTTCTTTGCTCCTGCGCGACCCGTCATGCGACCAAGACCTTTCAACGCCCTTCCCCAGGGTTGGTTCCAAGCTACAGCTGAGAATGGCTCGACATATTTCTACAACTCCAATGGCATCACACAATGGCAACGGCCGACGCAGCCTGCAGATGCCCCGCCTCCTCCGCCAAACAAAGCTAGAAGTGACACCCAGCTATTGCAAGACATCATATCCAGCATTACCTCGAACGGCACACCCACCGGGCCCTCCGCATCTACCACCCCACAGCCAGTAGCTAACGAGGATATGGAATCCAGTTCCGGTCGTGAAAAGTGGCGTACCCTGTCAAGAGAAAAACAGGAGAAGGTGTATGAAGCGACAGTGAGTAATTCCCAGTATTTCGTGAAGCATGTCTGACCCTCATAGCTTTCACCACACGTCATGACCGTGACAAGCCATTATCGCAAGAAGCTCGAAAAGACGGAGATCAAGAGACTCAGCAAAGAGGTTGCGCAGAAGCTTGTACGAGGTGACTACAAGTCTGGTCGCGTCAAGGACCCGACAGCCAAGATCAGTTCCAACCACGAGAACACCATCAAGAAATACGTCAAAGACTTCATGGACAAGGCCGTCAAGAAGAAGGAAGAGCGACAGAGAGTCAAGGCTGCCCAAGGCGGTTCAAAATCCGACCTCACCAACGAGTCCCCCAGCACTCCACAAGCACCAAGCGGAGATGCCAACGACGTCTCTCCCACCGACTCCACATCCGACCTAAAGCGAAAGAGGGACGAAGAGACGCAATCCGGCTCACCAAAGCGAACAAGGACAAGTTCTGAAAACCAGGAATCAGCGCCGCCGCCTCCGCCACCACCCCCAGCAACCACCGATGTCGAAGAGACCCTCACGCCCATGGACGAAGCTTCCAGTTTATCCTTCCTCGACGCAACCTCACAAAGTGCTATCGGCTCCAAGCCATCCATTCAACTAGACGGCTATGGTAGCCCCATGCAACTCGCGACACCTCCGACTAACGGTTCTGGTGATCAGCGGTCTCGACCCGTCAATGGAGGCCAACAACAGCGTTCATAGTATACGATGTGAGCAAGGCATACTTTATTCGAGTTTATGTATTACCGCTCTTTTCTCAGATTCTTATTCTTTGTAATTCTTCGGTTCGGAAGTTCAATACGTTCGTTCGGCCAGATGGCTCGGATGGGATAGTGCTAGCATTATATGGCGTTGGTGGGAAAAGATTAGTGGGAACTGTGGTGTAGTGGGGATGGTTCATTGGAGAGTGGTGGATATGAAGGGGGTAGGAACACATATGTATTATGTTGGGAATTGAATCAAGAGAGATATCTACATTCGTTTCCTGTACTGTGCGTGAATCTGTGATGCCTTACTTTTAGGCTCGTCGACCACATCCAATTAGGATAGCCCACCCCTTTCACCTTCACTTTTACAAAAACGCAAAAAAAAAACCATGCTATTGTACCACACCCGTCTATTGTGCCCAGCCATCTCAATAAACCGCGCACATCTCTCCACTGCAGGTAGCATATATAAAGCAGACAATTCGTTCTCATCCTCTCCTTCGATATCTCACACACTACCTTACCTACTACACATCCAATTCCCACACTCCCACAACAAACCAACAAACCACTTACTGACTACAACAAGATGCCACCTACTCAATCATCATCTCACCTGGTGGATTGCCACCCACAACCACGTCCCTCCCAACCCGAAATCCAGCCAGGCGCCTACAACCCGCTGTCCCCCGACTACTTCTGGGACACAGCATACACATTCCCTTCCCCCATGGCAACTACACCCCTCCCCGTGGTCATCAAAGCCACCCACAAACCCACAATGTCGGCGGCAACCCACACCGCCGCCAAAGCAGCCACCCCTCCCCACGCCCCGGGTAGTCAGCAACCCCATCTTCGCAACCGCTGCGCAAAGCCTGTTAAAGGCCCTGTATTCGGCAACGCTCGCGGACCGCCACCCGCCAACCCTTGGGGTGGCGACGTCTTCGCCAGGATCAAGGCTGATGATGAGGTTGTGAGGGAGCGGGCAAATGAGGAGATTGAGAGGGAAGGGGGTTTGTTCCGTCCCAAGATGACGCAGACGTGGAGGGGTGGGGGTGGGAAGAAGGTAATTGAGGTGTTTGAGGAGGAGATGGGGGAGTGAGATGGAGTGAGATGGGATGAGGTTTGGCGGGTATGCGGTGGTTCATTTTGAGATAGGGAACTAGTTGAAGAGGTTTTGAAAGGTTCCATAGCTTCTCCATGAATTCCTCTCCAAGTACTCACTCTACCTACTTCCCCAGCACCTTATCCCCAACCGCCTGCGCCATCATCCCCGCATTAGCAACACTACTCTCCAGCGTCCCCGCCACCCTCATGAAATTCACAGCCAAAACCTCCAACCCCTTCTCCTCACACAACTTCCACGCATTAAATCCCCATCGGTCCTTCAAATCCTGCATCTCGCCCTGCTTCCCCTGCGCCGCAGCCGCATACACCTTCTGCATCTCGCGCAAGTCCTCGGGGCGGACTTCAATCTTGTCAGAGCCGCGGGCGAGTATGAATACGTAGCGATGCGGGCGTGGCGAGATGTAATTGGGGAGAGGAGCCGGGCGCACGTAAGGCGAGCGTATGGCGGCGGAGTGGTGCGAGAGTGTGCCGTTGGAGTCGCAGGAAAGGTTTGTGATGAGCCAGTGGCGGACTTGGCCGAAGGATGTGTCGTTGTTTGTCATGAGGTCGGGGTCTACCATCATGAGCACGAGGTTATCCAGGGTTTCGCTGGGCTGGGCGCGACGTCAGTGGGTGTAGTATATGAGATTAGTGAGAATGCTCACTACAGGATCGAGCAAGACTTTTGGTTCTTCTTTCGTGTCGGCGTTGGCTAGTTCCTTGCCTGGCGTATCGAGTTTGCCGTTGGTCCATTCTAATGTTAGGTTGTAGGAGAGATTGATGGTGTCGGGGAGGACGTCTGGGATGACTTTGTGCTCGAGGAGAGCTTGCTTTGTGGCTTGCGTGTTCGCCATATTGTAATATCTTGTTGAGTTGTTGCAATGCGAGAAGCTATCTAAAGTTGCAGTACTCTTAAGACAAAGTACATCGCTCAAGTATTATACCAACCAGCGATCGAATATGCCGGAGGGACGCGCGCATTACGAGTGTTCACGCATCATGCATCGTCACTTTCGGGAGCGATCCGCTCTCGTGATTGCGCAGCCGAATAGCTGTAGCCGGTCTGCAAGTGCTTTCTTTGGTTAGTTGATGCGGATGTGCATCTGGAAAGGCACGCTGGATCGCCGTTGTGGTACGATTGTAGAGATGACGTTGCTATGACACGCATGAGACACGCGATGGACCGGGGCGGAGTGCTAGCCCGAATCAAGTCCGGCCACTGTGATTAGATGTGATGATGGGGACGCGCCCGAAAGCATAAATGATAATTTAGGTGAAGACGAACACTCGGAGACAAGAGATCACGGGGAAGTACAGCAACAGTATATATGGTTCGAAATGATCATTGATTCTGCTCAGAGAGCCTTGGTCTACATAGAAGCCAACACCCAAAGCAAGATCCATCCACATCCAACCCATCATGCAATCACCAACACCATGCATACCCCCAACCCACCGTTAGCAACAACCAAAGGAAAAAGAGCAGACTTACACATCGTTGCGTCCCAAGCATCTAGTTCATCTCCCACCCCCTCACACAAACTCAAGTGCAAGAGAGCAGTCGACTATCCAGGCAGCACCACGAGGAGGCGCAAGGGTCCGACTTCTACCGCCCGTCCCCCTCTTGCGATCGCCTGGCACGCCCACCAGCGACCCATTTTCTCCATCGGCAAACACTCTTTGCATCCTGCCCGAAGCCCACCCAACCAAAGTTGGCGTTATCAGGTCCGCAATAGCAGTCTGCCCCTCGCTACATCGCAGGTAGTCAACGCCGCAAACAAAAAAGAAGCGACGCGTATACCGCGGGACACCTCGCTTCATCATCACCCACCGAAGTGGAAACAAACAGCAAGACCGGAACACTTTTCGCTTCCTCCCGGGCCGGTTCAAAAAATGAGCCGGCGCGGTCCACGCTAGCAGTTCCTCGCTAGGTTGCAGCAGCTGAAGCCACGAGTGGCCAGCGCGCAGACAGTGAAGACCTTGGGCCGTCGGCTGGATGAGGCGACATTGCAAGGCCGGAGACATTTTCTCGCTTCCTCCCTGACCCGAACAACAAGTTGTCTACAGTTCGTCGCCGACAGCTCGCCGCTAACAAACAAGTCGTCCGCAGCAAACGTCAACAATAGGTCGTGACAGGCATTCGTCGTCTGAGTCAAGTCGCGATAGCAGTCTGCCACGCATACCCCGCAGTCAAAACACCGTCGCACTAGAAACAACAGGTAAATCCCACGGGGGTGCCTCGCTCCATCCCGTACAGTGATGAGGACAGAGCTCGGCGAATGGTAAAGCCCAGTCACTCCATAAAGAAGCAAGCGGCTGCGTTTACCAAAGAAAGGACCGTTGTAAAACCAGATATCCAAGCACCGCTGATCCGTAAAGGGGCAGTGAGAAGATAGAAACAAGCCGGCGTAGCAACAGTCCAGGACGATTTTTTCGATGTTTTTTTGTCGATTTTTTCGTTTTTTGTGATGGTAGGCCAAACCAACGTGTTTTGCAGGCACGCGGGCAGGATACCAAACACGGGGTGTTCGATATGCCATCAGATGGCAACACGAACGAAAGGGTACTAGCCATCAACGCCGAGAGGGGTTTTCGGGACCCATCGGCTCCGGTCATTCCCCCACACTGTAGTGCCCGTAAGGGCGATTCCAATAAAATTCTCGATAAAGTTTGACACAATAAGTTCAACACGATAGGTTTTTCCACGAATGTCCATGCCATACTGTCGAGCACTGGCAGCGGTACACGCCATGACTTACCCGGAAAGGGAGAGTCCATGGGTATACAGTTGTCGTCGACAGTCCACGCATGGACGGGAACACCCAACGAACAGGCCGTCGCACACATGCGGCGACAGCCCATTCGCGAGGACAGAAACTGTCCTCCGAAGGGAGGCGGGTGCTTGTATGCAAGTTGAGCCAGGGACCATTACGGTCTGTCAGAGAACCCCAACCATCTGCTCCAGACAAGAGCAGAGGCCGGGAGAACTCAATATCTGTTGGCATCTTCCGCACTCGGCAACCTCTAAAAAGAGTGCCACTGGCGACGGGGTTACGCGAACGTTCCCTGCAGTACAAGTCCGCGAGTCGGCAACGTAATCGGTCAACGGGAGGGACGTATGCGAGCGGGCTGTGTCCGGAAGGCGAGGGCGTAGAAGGCGGAACTAGAAGAAGGAGGAGAGGGCGTGCTTCCACCACCTCCCCACCTCCTCCCCTCCGCCTCCCCCACCCACCCAGGATGGACGAATGGACGGATGGACGTAAACGAGCAGGCTGTATCCAGACGGCGAAGGTAAACTCGAACGAAGCGGACGGATCCGAAGGAAGCAGGCGTACCTGAAGGCGCGGGCGTACCCGAAAGTAAGATGTAACATCGGGGCTCAAAGGCGGGACTCGGAGAAGGCAGCAGCCGGGAAGATGAAGGAGGCAGCAGAAGAAGACGAGGTGATGAGAAGGATGGAAGGAAGTGCTTCCACCTTCTCCCCGTCCCCTGCCCACCGCCTCCCTGATCAACCCATTTGCACAATGGCCAAGACATCGGGGGACGTGCGGTAGAGGGTGCCTGTGAGCAATATTGCCGTGGACCATGCGGTCTATCGGAGGCTTCTGCGAGGAAGCCTCCATATCGCAGGCATCTTCCACGCTCGCCTCCCTGAACAGGGTGGCACTAGTGGCGGGGATACGGCGAACCGTTTCCCTTGCTGACAGGTTCTCATCGCGAAGCATTTTTTGGCGGGCAGGTGAAGGAAACAGCAAGAAGAGGGTTGAGAGAGACCGTGTTTCCAGTCTCCTCACCTTGTCCCTGCCGCCTGCTTCACCCACCCTGTGAGGAAAGGATACTCTACCTGAAACCAGTAAGGCGAGCGAATCGGTAGGGGAGCCAAACTCGAGCCAACAGGAACGGAAGGAGGACAAGGAGCACACCAGTCTCAAACCCGGGAACACAAAATGAGGTAGACCAAAAGTACTCCGAAGAGTTTGACACAAAAGCGCGAAGCAAGCCATGGCTGTCCGTAAAGGGAGAGCTTAGGTGCAATCGCAGTAGTACACCCTTTCGTCACGCTAGTCTGGGAAGCGGGTAGATGCGAGGACGCAGAAGAAGAGAGAACCAGAAGAAGGAGGAGAGGGGGTGTTTCCACCTCCTCCCCAGCTCCTCCCAGCTGTCTCCCTTCCAACTCCCCCACCCACCCATGCCCCACAGACCAGCTTACGATTGAGGGCGACTCGGCCATGACATGATTCTCATGTTTAGGCCTGAAGAGAGGAAGTGACTGTAGCCAAAAGAACGCCGTGGACGGTAAGGTCTGTCGGAGACTTCCAAGGAAGTATCGATATCGCAGGCTTCTTCCACACTCGTACATCTGAAAAGACGACACTGGTGGCGGGGAATGCTCCCTTTGACTAACAGACTCCTCTGTCCGTGTGACACCAAAGGTGATAATAATCGCGGTCGACTGCAGTCGCCGTAAACATGCAAGAGCAGAGGCTGCGCGCCTCAGCTCCAAAAGAGCTTACCAACCAGTATCCCGACAGTCTCTGTAAGGTTACCCATGCCCTGCCAGCAACAAGGAGGACCTGCCACCGGTTGTCCTCGTCGATAACGCGCACAAGAAACAGTAAGAGAAGCCTTGACTTCCTACATATGCTTGGACTGCCGTGAAGGGGACGCATGCGCTCGCGTCAATGAACCACGGACGGTTGACGTCTGTTGTAGCGCCAAGGCCACTATCTGTTGGTATCTTCCACGCGCGACAACCTGAGAAGGCGACACCGGTGGCGGGGAGTATTCCCTGGCGTGAGGTTGTGCGTCCCCCTCATGGCTGTCTGTCCGCTACACCAATGGTGTTTGCAAGACTCGTAGGACTCGGAGGAGGGAGTGGAGAGGGAGGAGCTCATCGCGCGGCATCGATCGTGGTGTCGGTTGGCAACTGCGGTCGATGGCGGCGACGTGGTCGGAATGACATGAGATGGCGTAGTGAGAACGTGGAAGCAAGCGCTGCTTGACGAAAAAAAGTGATGCATGGAGGAAAAGAAGTGTGAGAATCCCTCAGACGGTGAAGTGAGGGTAACAAGGCCAGGAAACTGTTGCTGGAAGGAAGGTGTGTCACGTATCGAGGTGTGTATGTGTGCCTGTGGTGGTTGCCTGGCACGACGCTAGACACCAGTAAATAGCACCACGTATCAATCATAAAAGGAGAAAATGGGGAATACCAAGCTACTCTGTGTAGAGAATGTGCGGAAAGCCAACCATGGTACCGATGCCACATCCGGCGTAGGACGACCCGTTTCAGGGCCAGACGAACAGTGTTGCTAGAACTGAGCTGTGAGCATGGCCAGTCTCCGTAGTACTTCTCGTATCACCGTGAAGCTCGGAGGCCATGTAGTCGCAAAGCCAGGCGTGTTCGTCCTTGGTAGCCGTGGGCCGGATGGTGGTGGGGTACATTCATGACTGTCTTGGCCTATAGTCTCGTTTCGAATTTACCTAGGTGGAGGGACGGTTGAACCGGACAAGCTCATTCGACGAATTCCAGGAAATCCGGTGTAGCACAAGTCCGGTCGGTGGTCCGCTCGTCGAAAACTAATCGCTATCTCCTAGAAGTTCAGCGAGCTCCGCTTCTTCTTCCGCTGTCATCATGCCCTCTTTGCGCTCGGGCTCCTTGTCCTCTTTCTTACCGAGACGCTCGTCTTCGGCCTCTTGGATGGCCTTGGCAAGCTCTTGAGGCTTGAGGCTCCACTGTCTGACTGTAGCGTCAATGCTCACGCTGACTACGCGTTGGCCTAGCAGTAGAAGGCCGGTAACCTCTTCAAAATGCCCACTGAAAGTGTGATGCAGCTTGCCGCTGCTCTTGTCCCAT